CTCCTGCCTCTCACACACACAATCTCTCCCTCTCCTGCCTCTCACACACACAATCTCTCCCTCTCCTGCCTCTCACACATATACACACACACACAGACAGTCAATGTGGCATTTTATAGATTCCTACTTTAGAAATACAACAAGTCTGACTCCAAACTAAAACACAAACAGATTCTAAACAAGGCTTCACACCTATCAGAGATAGCAGGAACTGCAAATGCTGGAGAATCTGAGATAACAAGGTGTAGAGCTGGATGAACACAGCAGGCCAAGCAGCATCACAAGAGCAGGAAAGCTGACGTTTCAGGCCCAGACCCTTCTTCAGAAAAAGGATTTGTTCAGAAAAATTCTTTCTGAAGAAGGGTCTAGGCCCGAAACGTCAGCCTTCACACCTATCACGTATTGTTTGACCTAAAATATCACCTCATCTTACACTGATAAAACCTTTAGTTCTCTCAGGACTGTGACTTGAAAGGAATTTGGGGGTTTACATATACATATTAATCAATTGAAACCTTCTAACTGGTTAAAGATTTAACAGCATCTTAGGTTTGTTTGTTACATTCTCTTCTCTGGTGTGGCCCTTTAATCTTTTACTTATAAATTCTGTGTCTGATACTCCCTCTCTCACTAAAACCTGAACAAGGACTGAGGCTCCAAAAGCTTGTGATTTCAAATAAACCTGTTGGACTATAACCTGGTGTCATGTGACTTCTGACCTTGTCCACCCCAGTCCAACACCAGCACCTACACACCATTCTTTCACACTAGTTGTCCCAAGTTGCAGAGAAAGTATTTGTCTTATTGCAGCAGTAATAATCCTCCAATGATCCAGACATGAGCTGATGCAAATCCCCATTGGTGGAGAGCTTTGGGAACCTACATCTCAAATCACCAGTTCCTGTTGAGCTGTGCTACACTTGCAACAAATTACTATTTACTAAAAGATCCCTGTCACATTTCCATGCGAGTGAACTGTTCTCTTCATTGTCAACTCCAGGTGTTTTTTCTTTGTGATGGTGACCAATAACAATCTGTTTCCAGGCCCTCAGATGTAGCCATATGTGAACCTGGTTGTGCTGACTGCAAGTCTACTAGCAGCTGTAGGACTCTGAGCAAAGGAGCTTTAGCCAGTTTTCAGAGTCTTTTTTAATCAAGAAGCCAGTGACTGAAAGTAGTTTAAGATACATCAAATCACAACACTTGCAGGTATCTCTGTGGAATTATCTCCATCTCCAACAATTTCAACACTGCTGCTGGAAAATCCAGTAACTCCCTCCACAACATCTACATCACACAGACTGCAGCAGTTCAAAAAGGAAGCTAATCATTGCCTTCCCAGGGACAACTGGTGATGGAAAATAATTTTCAACCTTGCCAGCAACACTTCCCAAAAAAGAATGGAAAACCGGAATACAACATTGGGAGCACTGGATCAATAGAGGCCGGTGAGCAGTCCCTGGTTTGAAATCTGCAGTGGGTCAGTCTTGTGTCAGGTATTCATTCACTGTCTTTACAGTTTCAATGTGGAGTTCACACAGGAACTGCTTCCACATCATTGTGGAGTATTTAGGTCTTGAATATTGATCCAAGGGGTCTCCAGTAAATTTTGGGGTATGGAGTTTAATTTACAGCAACCTCTCCCCTCAGTAATAGCATTGACCTTGACAAGAAACACAGTACCTGTATTGATCTGAAATGAATCAGAGGATTTTCTCACCTGTTGGTACAGAGAGTGGTGAGAGTGGCCGAGAGAGACTGGATGATGGGGAGCTGACCACCAAACTCTTCCTGTTGCTGCGGCAACTGAGAAATCAACAAAAGAACATTCAATTTGAGACTGGTCAAAAATAGAGCAGCATTACAAAAGGTGATCATGCAAAGATATGCAAATGGAATGTTGATGTTTATTGAAAAGAAAATGGAATATAAAAACAGAGAGTGGTTGACTGCAGTTGTACAGGGTGTTTGTGAAACCTCAGATGGAGTATCATGTACAGTTTTACACAGTACACATATAAATTAGAAGCAGGTTAGAGAAGGTTCATTTGACTGATACTAGGGATAGGCAATAAATGCTGATCAGCCAGAAATATCTATGTCCCATGAGTGAATGAAATAAAAAGCAAAATACTGCAGATGCTTGAAATCTGCAATAAAATCAGAGAACACTAGAGAAACTCGGCAAGTCTGGCAGCGTCTGTGGAGAGAGGAACAGTTAATGTTTCGGATCCAGAGCTCAGGGCGGAGGTAACTGAAAGCACCCAGTCAGGCTGCGCTGGTGTTACACGTCCATGTCTATGAATAGATTTGTTCACATTTTCCCAGGCGGCGCCAGATTCCTTTCTTCACCTCTCCATCTAATTCTGAATCTTGATAGTTTCCAAAGTCTTGAATGCATTACCACCTCCCAAATCCTTTCCCAGCTTTTCCCAAACACCATGGTTGTATCCTTCTAAAATCAGGCTTCCACACCTTACCACAGAACCAAGGTTACATATGACATCTTTTGTGACAGTGACAAAGTTAGAATTTCTTTCCTTTCATTCTTAATCCGTCTGCAGTATTTCATAGATACATAGAAACATAGAATATAGGAGCCTTCGAGCCTACTCTGCCATTCGATATGATCATGGTTCATTATCCAACTCAGTCCCCTGTTCCTCCCCTTTGATTCCTTTCACCCTATGAATTATATCTATATCCATATCCTTCTTCTGTCCTCAACCATTTTCTGCAGCAGAGATTGCACAGGCTCCCCACTCTCTGGGTGAAGACATTTCTCTCAACTCTGTCCTAATTGGTCTAAACCATATCTTTAGGCTGTGATCCCTGGCTATGGACTCCTTGGTCATTGGGAACATCCTCCCTGTGTTTACCCTATATAATCCTGTTAGAATTTTGTTGGTTATTACAAGATCCCCCCACTTCTTCTGAACTTCATTGAATATATTCCTGACTGAACGAGTGTGTCTTCATCCATCAGTCCTGCCATGCCAGGAATCAGTCTGGTAAGCCTATGCTGCACTCCTTCCATCACCCAAACATCCTTCCTCAGATAAAGAGACAAAACTGCACACACTATTCCAGGTGTGGTCTTACCAATGCCCTGTATAATTACAGCAAGACATCACTGTTCCTGTACGCAAATC